GTATCAAGTGGAGTGCCCCAAGGGTCGGTCCTGGGGCCGGTTTTGTTCAATATCTTCATAAATGATCTGGAGGATGGTGTGGATTGCACTCTCAGCAAATTTGCGGATGATACTAAACTGGGAGGAGTGGTAGATACGCTGGAGGGGAGGGATAGGATACAGAAGGACCTAGACAAATTGGAGGATTGGGCCAAAAGAAATCTGATGAGGTTCAATAAGGATAAGTGCAGGGTCCTGCACTTAGGACGGAAGAATCCAATGCACCGCTACAGACTAGGGACCGAATGGCTAGGCAGCAGTTCTGCGGAAAAGGACCTAGGGGTGACAGTGGACGAGAAGCTGGATATGAGTCAGCAGTGTGCCCTTGTTGCCAAGAAGGCCAATGGCATTTTGGGATGTATAAGTAGGGGCATAGCGAGCAGATCGAGGGACGTGATCGTCCCCCTCTATTCGACATTGGTGAGGCCTCATCTGGAGTACTGTGTCCAGTTTTGGTCCCCACACTACAAGAAGGATGTGGATAAATTGGAGAGAGTCCAGCGAAGGGCAACAAAAATGATTAGGGGTCTAGAACACATGACTTATGAGGAGAGGCTGAGGGAGCTGGGATTGTTTAGCCTGCAGAAGAGAAGAATGAGGGGGGATTTGATAGCTGCTTTCAACTACCTGAAAGGGGGTTCCAAAGAGGATGGCTCTAGACTGTTCTCAATGGTAGCAGATGACAGAACGAGGAGTAATGGTCTCAAGTTGCAGTGGGGAGGTTTACATTGGATATTAGGAAAAACTTTTTCACTAAGAGGGTGGTGAAACACTGGAATGCGTTACCTAGGGAGGTGGTAGAATCTCCTTCCTTAGAGGTTTTTAAGGTCAGGCTTGACAAAGCCCTGGCTGGGATGATTTAACTGGGAATTGGTCCTGCTTCGAGCAGGGGGTTGGACGAGATGACCTTCAGGGGTCCCTTCCAACCCTGATATTCTATGATTCTAATTACAGGCCTGTCAGCTTGATACTGATCCTGGACAAAACAATGAAGCAGCTGATATAGGTCTTGATTAATAAAGAATTAAAGGAGGATAATATAAATTATCACCAATCAACATGGCTTCATGGACAACAGATCTTGTCAAACTAACTTGACTAGACAGATACATAGATAAGGATTACAAGTTTGGTTGATAGAGGTAACAGTATCAGAGGGGTAGCCATGTTAGTCTGTATCCACAAAAACAATGAGGAGTCCGGTGGCACCATAAAGACTAACAGATTTATTTGGGCATAAGCTTTCGTGGGTAAAAACCCACTTCTTCAGATGCATGATGTGTTGTTGTAATATACCTAGACTTCTGTAAGGCATTTAACTTGGTATTGTATGACGTTTTGACTAAAACTAGAATGATAGAAAATGAACACATTAAATAGACTAAAAACTGGCTGACAGGTCCCAAAACATACTTGTAAACAGGGAATCATCATTAAGCAGGTGCATTTTTTGTGGGGTCCTGCAGAGATTGGTACTTGTCTCTGATCTACTTATTTTTTAATCAGTGACTTAGAAGAAAAACTAAGCACTGATTAAATTTTCAGGTGATGAAGATTGGGGGAGTGGTAAATAATAGAGAGGACAAGTCACTGATACAGAGGGATCTGGACTGCTTGGTAAGCTGGGACCAAGCAAACAATACGTGTTTCAATACAGCCAACTGAAAGGTCATACATCTAATAACAAAGAATGTAGGCTGTACTTACAGGATGAGGAATTCTAATCTGGGAAGCAATGATTCTGAAAGACTTGGGAGTCATGATGGATAATCAGCTGAACATGAGCTCCCATTGCAACACTACAGCTGAAAGAGCTCATGTGATGCTTAGATGTATCAACTGGATTACCTAGTAGCAATAGGGAGATCATACAATTACTGTATTTGGCACAGGTGCAACCACTACCACTATACTGTGTTAATAAATTGGAGGGAGTTCAGTGAAGAGCCACAATTACAGATTTGGAATACATCCCTTATACTCAAAGACTCAAGGAGCTTAATTTATCTTAAAAGAAAAAAGTTAAGGGGTCACTTGATCATAGTCTGAGTACCTACACAGGGAACAAATTTGATAATAGAGAGCTCTTCAGCCTAGCAGACAAAGGTATATAACAAGATCCCATGGCTGGCAAAGGTGCAAATTTTTAACAGTGAGGTTAATTATCTATTGGAACAATTTACCAAGGATTTTGCTGAACTGTGTTGGCAATTTTTAAATCAAGACTGGATCTTTTTCTAAAAGACCGGCTCTAGTTCAATCCGGAATTAATTCAAGGAATTCCTATAAAATCATAGAATATCAGGGTTGGAAGGGATCTCAGGAGGTCATCTAGCCCAACCCCCTGCTCAAAGAAGGACCTAATCCCTAACTAAATCATCCCAGCCAGGGCTTTGTCAAGCCTGACCTTAAAAACCTCTAAGGAAGGAGGTTCCACCACCGCACGAGCTAATGCTTTCCACTGCATCACCACCCTCCTAGTGAAAAAGTTTTTCCTAATATCCAACTAAACCTCCCCCACTGCAACTTGAGACCATTGTTCCTTCTTCTGTCATCTGCTACCAATGAGAACAGCCTCGATCTATCCTCTTTGGAACCCCCTTTCAGGAAGTTGAAAGCAGCTATCAAATCCCCCCTCATTCTTCTCTTCTGCAGACTAAATAATTCCAGTTCCCTCAGCCTCTCCTCATAAATCATGTGCTCCAGCCCCCTAATAATTTTTGTTGCCCTCCCCTAGACTCTTTCCAATTTTTCCACATACTTCTTGTAGCGAGGGGCCCAAAACTGGACACAGTACTCCAGATGAGGTATCACCAATGTCGAATAGAGGGGAATGATTATGTCCCTTGATCTGCTGGCAATGCTCCTACTTATACAGCCCAAAATGCTGTTAGCCTTCTTGGCAACAAGGGCAAACTGTTGACTCATATCCAGCTTCTTGTCCACTGTCACCCCTAGGTCCTTTTCTGCAGAACTGCTGCCTAGCCACTAGCTCCCTAGTCTGTAGCAGTGCACAGGATTCTTCCATCCTAAGTGCAGGACTCTGCACTTGTCCTTGTTGAACCTCATCAGATTTCTTTTGGCCCAATCCTCTAATTTGTCTAGGACCCTCTGTATCCTATCCCTACACTCCAGCATATCTACCACTCCTCCCAGTTTAGTGTCATCTGCAAACTTGCTGGGGGTGTAATCCATGCCATCCTCCAGATCATTAATGAAGATATTGAACAAAACCAGCCCCAGGACCGACCCTTTGGGCACTCCGCTGGATACTGGCTGTCACTAGACATGGAGCCATTGATCACTACCCACTGAGCCTGATGATCTAGCCAGCTTTCTATCCACCTTATAGTCCATTCATCCAGCCCATACTTCTTTAAATTGCTGGCAAGAATACTGTGGGAGACCGTATCAAAGGCTTTGCTAAAGTCAAGGAATAACAAGTCCACTGCTATGTCCTGTGGTATGCAGAAGGGGTCAGAATAAATTATCACAATGGCCCCTTCTGGGCTTATCTATGAACCTGTAGACCAGGGGTTCTCAAACTGTGGCACATGTACCACCTGTGGCATGTAAACTTGATGTTCCATCTATTCACTTTACAATAATTTAAGAAAGCAGTATGTGAAGCAATAAAATTTGAGACCTGCTGTTTTAAACCATTACAAAGCAGATTTTTACTACTTTGCTATGTGTTTTCTGTGTTGTGGTAACATCCGTGCTTACAATCTATAAGACCCTGCTCTGCTGTCAGCCTGGTGAGAAACTCGATGAAGCATTTAAGGCACTGCCCCCTCTCCTTAGCGGCTTGCCACACACTTCTCCCCAGAGGAAATATTCCAGAGCTACAGAAATAGAGTACATAATCCTGCATTCCCCAGCTAGCCCCTGGTTGAGCCAATCCACCCTGGAAGGTGTACTGATGTTATCTCATTATGGGAAACATTTAGCAATGTAAGAAATTTGTTTTTCTGCTATGCAGCCACAACCATTGTGCATGTGGGGTCTGATCAGCAGCACTTGGACAATCTTCCTTTCCTCCCTATATGTGGTTAGAGGCTAAGGGAAAAGGTAAGGCAATAGGATGAGCAAAACTCATCTCAGAACCTCATGTCTAAAGGCAGCATTAGCCAATAATGCCTGGTTGAGGAGGCAGTACCTAGAGACAGTGTCAACTGAGCACCAGGTAGCTCAGCAGTGTTCAGGAACAGAGGCTCCCCCCTCTCAGCCCGGAAGCCGGCTACCACTCTGGCAGAATAGGCCTTGAGCTTCTTAGGACAGGGAAGATCTGCTAAAGCATAACAATGCTAGGTCTGATCCAGTAACAGGTGACATGAGATACCATTCCCTCCAACATGGAAATCCTCAAAAAGGATGAAAACTGAACAGGATTTCTAGATGTCACAGAAAGATAAGACAATGCTATCCTGCTCACTGATGCCACCCTGTACATAGATTCTATTCTACAGAGGTACTTATACCACCATCACCACTTTAGTGTCTGAGTATCAAATGTACCAAGCTTGAACAGCATTATGATGAGAGTTAGTCACACATGGATAAGGGTCATGTGATTTTTGACAAAAACAAATTGAAAAGAAGATGGAGTAATGCTAATTGGAAAACAATACCTATGACTTCTCCCTGCACACAAATAGCAAGAACAATGTGCTACTGAAGAAGCCAGAAAGAGAAAGTTTCCCATTCCCACATCCCCACACTAGTTCCCCAGTCCTCATATCAGTTACCGAAAAAAGCTATTATGTAGTTTTGGTTATTATAAATGTGATTAAGTGCTGAGCGCAAGAACATTCTCATTGCTACATGTTCCTACAGATTAGATTGATAGAGAAATAGTATTTAATTTTACGTTTTTTAAAAAGGAAATACGAGTGGCCAGTTTATAAACCAACAAAAGTTATAATCCATCTCTTCTCTACAGCATGCTTGGGAAGACTCACCTGACGAATGGCCAGTACTCCCTGGGGATCTACAGTCAGTTCTGCTAAATGAACGCCAAATTCTGCAAGAAAGAATATCTAAAATGAGACTAAGAATAGAATATCTAATTGAGACCAAGAATAGAATTAACATTAGCACCAAGAGATTTAAGCCAACACAGTACAAATCACAAAAAGGATTTTAGCCTGCATCTTCTGGAAGGCACAATGATGACAAAGTGAGTTACATGCACGAAGGAGAAGACAGCCCCATAGAGTAGCTTCTCAGCTGAATTGACGGCATCCACATTCTCCCTCATATTCCCTACCGATTCCACTCCTCTTCCCAATAACCTATTTCCCTCTCTCAAACAGAGAGCTTTTTTAGAACTGTTTTTATACTAAGTGAAAGACTGTATGGACAAAACAAAACAAAACCCCCACATTTTGTTATCAATTTAAGTTACTATAGACTTATGTGCAAACAATGACATTTTGCTCATGACATTAAGTGAGCACCTGCACAGAAGCTATGAAAAAGATTCACAGATGGAGCTATACGTAGGGCCCTACCAAATTCATGGTCCATTTTGGACAATTTCAGTCATAGGATTTTAAAAATCGTAAATTTCATGATTTCAGCTATTTAAACATTTATCACTTCAACTCTTCACCAGAAATGTGGGTCACATTCTGACCTTGACCTTATTAGCCTACATCAGCTTTGTCAAACAGGCCAGATTGTTAAAATGGACCTCTCCTGAGCCAAAATTATTTAAGAGGAGAAAAAGAGGGACCATAGGCTGACCACCAAAGGGCATCCTGTGTTTTGTAACACCTCAAGTCTTGTCAAACACACACCCTGTAACTGTTTCCCTGAAGTCCTATCTAGGAAGACTGTGGGATATCCTGAAAGACTCAGAAAAAAGCTATCAGAACATTGTGAATGAACCTACCTCCACGTAACTGTGTCTGGGAAGACCAGACATTGCTACTGTTGGGCTGAGTTGGAGAAAGCATGTCTTCACAATAATGCCAACATTAAAGTAGCACAAGATTTTAATACATCTAGTCCCTTTACCCAAGTGATGACTTGGTTATTTTTAATGCTTCTCAGAAAATACACCTCTGAGCTGCAGTCCAGTAAATGACTTAAGCGTACAACATATACTTGTCTTTCACTAAACAGTTTAACAGCAGTTTATGAATAATGCTAAGTCAATAAGCAATTGAAAGATGAGGCTGCAGATATTGCATTACATAGCTTAACCTATGACTATCTGAAACAAGAAACTGTAAACACCACAGGACAGTTCTCAGCACAGAAAGATTCTGAATGTTTAAACAATGCTGAAGTGACACATTTTGGAAGGTGACAAGAAACTGACAGTTTCTCAGAGAAAAAAGGGAGAAACCTGGATTCATTATTAATCTAACTATCTTTACCGCTGTTTGAACAGTTAGTTAAAAAGGCACAGAAAACTACAGGCACTGGTAAATCTATATAAAAAGATTCCAGGATTATCACTCTAAAACCTCAAATGTCTAAGTCAGCGTGAAGCAATAAAAACAGCTGCAAGCATGGTTGACAGCTCTTTCTTCAGAATATCACCAGATTCAACCATCACTAGTATCTGTAGTCTGTTACTGTTCAATTTGCTGCACATAACCCTCTTTTACTCAAGGTGCTAGACACATCACTTGCCCTCCTCCCATATGAATACATCACTGTTGAATCCCCCTGCTCCCCAGGAATTCTCTCCCCACCCGCCCTGAACCCTGGCAATTCCTAGTCATCCCAGCTGCTTCCCACTCTCACCAGCCCTTTTACCCAGTTGGCCTCTGAGCTTTCAGATAAATAAATAAAAATTGAATGTATTTATTTTACACACACACACACACACACACCCCAACTAACCACATGCATCCGTCGAAGTGGGTATTCACCCACAAAAGCTTATGCTCCCAATATGTCTGTTAGTCTATAAGGTGCCACAGGACTCTGTCACTTTTACAGATCCAGACTAACACAGCTACCCTTCTGATACTTGACAACTAAGATAGAAATTCCAGAGTTTCATACTCTGGAAGTTTACATGGTTCCCCTCCTCATTTAAAAAAAGTGTAAAAAAAGTTATTCCCATATCCCAGATAATTTACAGTTGATTTAAAGAACTAGATTCACCAGTTTGGTGTAGCTACTTTGCACTGTTCCAGTCATGCAAAGCAGACACAGAGTAACAGTACATCTAGCTCTAAAAACTTTTAAAATAAAATCAGTATTTTTAATATCTTCAACTAACTAGAGATATCACATGGTAGCAGTCTTTGGGACTTCTGTTTGTATGACATTTTAAATATTTTTTTAATAACCAGGGAAACTTCTAGACAAAAAAACTGCTAACCTGGTGTTAATTTTGAGAGTATATATGAATAGTTTAAAGAATGTTGTAATTATCCCAGAAACAAGTATTTACCAACCCCTGAAGTCACAGTTTGATGTATTTTTTAAAGTTTAACCTTAGGTTAAACAAGACAACTTCAATTCTGCCCCACAGTGACACTTTGCAATAACCACATGATTATGCTTAAGGCATTTTAGTATTTGTAGCCCCAGAGTAAATTAAACTGATTTTTAAAGGTTTTCTCCTGTGGCATCACTAAAGAACAGAGTTAAGGTTATTTGGGTGCGCCTTAACTGCCCATCTTCAGACCTTCATATATTTGGATTTCTTTTAGGTTTAACCCTAACTTTGAATTTCTGTGCCTTATGCTGCTTGTTTTGGGACATGATTATAAGATTGCTATGATGAATATTGTAATGGTAAAACATACATAACCTCAACCTTAACTCCATCTAAACAGTTTTTTTGTTTGGGAATATATAAAGAGAAGGAACTGGACATTTTTGAAATAAAACACAAAAAATTAAGTAACTTCAAGTCCCCGCACTTTATTATTAATGTTCATTAATCTTTTTCACAGTAATTATTTCTCTTTGCGGGCATACAACAAGCCAAACTCATGTCTGGCAAAGAAATCCTAACTGTTCTTAATATTTAAGCTTTTCATTTGCATTCTAGCAATGAGTGCTCTAATTATGATAATATAAAAAACTTTTTGATCAACACAGAACGAAACTCCACTTCATAGAAAAAGTGAACACAACCTTGCAGTTGGGAGGGTAGGGGGGTGGAGGGATACTCAGTGGTTTGAGCACTGGCCTGCTAAACACAGGGTTGTGAGTTCAATCCTTGAGGGGGCCATTTGGGGATCTGGGGCAAAAATTGGGGGATTGGTCCTGCTTTGAGCAGGGGGTTGGACTAGATGACCTCCTGAGGTCCCTTCCCAACCCTTATATTCTATGATTCTATGGAATTGCTACTGATTCTTCCATGAAATATAAAGATCAAATCCTTGTTTTAAACTTAGTCAGTCTGTACCCATGACAGGCCACAAGTGTCCCATTTTAAATATGTCACAATAGTTACAGAATGACCTTCACATTTCTTGTTGTGTCAATCACAAGCATGTGTACCTCCTACCAGACAGTCCCATATTCATCATTCTACTCCCCACAAGCCTTTTTATTTTAAATACATACTGCATAAAAATGACAAGCAAAATTTGAAGAATGGTATAAATAAGTATAGCACGCCTATGCCCCTTTTAGGGAAACTGATACTGCACTACTTTGATGGGATGTTTGTTTAGTGCTTAAGAGATCCTCAGCAGGGGTGGTACGTCCCACCCAAAGGAAGCTGACGTGCTGTGGGAGTTCTAAGCAGAATTATGGAGCCATTCAGGCTAGAGGCATACCCTTAGACACCTCAACTGTAAGCTGTTTACAAGAGTATTTGTGGACCCAAAAACATGGCTAATAAAAAAAAACCTGCACAACTAGCCTTTATCTGAGTGCAGGCTCCATCAGTTCGGCTCAGTGAATACCATATGCCCAGGAGCGAGTCTTGATCCTCCAAGGGCTCTCCTTTGCAGAAGGCCAATGTTTACACTATACTGGACGAGATCCAGAAAATCTCAGATGAGAACCAGAAACAAACATCTGCTCTTGACTCCAAATTAATGGGATTATTTCATGACCACTAACTATTTGTACCTATGCAGACTAAGAAATACAATCAAATTTCATGCTTCCAGGCATAACCAAACATCATACAGGGGTCAAAAACAATATTTACCTGTGCCCAGCGGTAGGAAAACTTGTTAGATGTATCAAGGACCTATTCACCTTCCTCTGAAGGATCAGATATTGAACAGTTCTGAAGGCAGAATGCCAGACTAGACTGAAACTGGTACAGCGAAGCCTATTTAAGAAGTTAATCCTACTACCGACCAAGGTTAATGTAGAAGTCCACGTGGGGGATCACAGGGCCCAGATGAGCTGGATGGAAGGCAAAGATCCCAAACTGCTAAAACAACTGTATAAATAGCAACAAAAATGGGAGGAAAATCTGACATGCCCAAAAAAACCCAACAACAATACATTTAGCAAACCCACCAATCCCTGGTTATCAACACAAATTTGAAGCTCAATTTATTGTCTTCCATGGAAAATGATTACCAAGAACACTATTCCCAAGTACAAGAAACCCTTCAACACCAAGACAAACCATTTGATAGACACTAAATGAAAGACTTTTTCAACTTAAGTGTCTTCCACTGAAAACAGGAAAGAGATCAAATTCTCACTACATGGCACAATAAGACACAGAACATGAAGGATACATTCTTAACTTTCTCCAGAGTGGAGCTTATCATACAAGTAAAGATGTTACCACTGCTTCCAGTGAAGGAGGCCACCATTCCACACAGGAAAGAAAAATAAAATTATGCAGGGCCACTGTTTGCAGCAAAGTTCAAGATATGCTATCATGGCAAAAGCAGAGTTTTCTAAAATAACTAAACAGACAAGGTGCAACCTGGAATTGGGGTACCTCTGAGCCCTCTGTTTTACCAATCTAGGTTCCCTCTCACACTGTGGTATTGTGACAAGTGGCAAAGCCCTCCAAGCTTGCCCTCACACAAACATCCACAGGCAAGGGCCACATCCAGCTGTGTTCAT